GATGATTTTACGCGGTATTGTTATGTCTATTTAATTTCTCATAAGTCGGAGGCATTGGAATGCTTTAGACGATATTTAAATGTGATAGAAAATCAAATAGATAGAAAGGTGAAAGCCTTGAGAACTGACCGAGGGTGTGAATATCTATCCGAAGAGTTCAGAAACCTATGTGATGATAAGGGAATCATTAGGCAATTAACTATTCCCAATACACATCAACAAAATGGTGTTGCTGAGAGAAGGAATAGAACGTTGCTAGAAATGGTGAGGTCCATGATGATGCAGGCTAACTTACCTATTTACTATTGGGGAGAAGCTTTGTTAACTGTGACCTACATTCAGAATAGAGTTCCTTCTAAATCAATACCTACTACACCATATCAGCTTTGGACAGGTAGATCCCCTGATTTAAGTTCTCTTAGATCCTGGGGATCAGCTGCCTATATCCATGATTCCTCAAATAAGTTTGAAAATTTGGGTGCTCGAGGTAAGAAGTGTATTTTTATAAGATACTCAAACCAGTCTAAAGGATATGTGTTTATAGGTGAAAATCAAGATGGGACTATAATTGAAATAGCGTTACGCGATGTGACATTTCTTGAGATTGATTTTCCTAGTAGGGGAGAAATTCTACCTGTCGATCCAAGTGGGAGTAATTTATCTCCAACTCCAAGTGATAGGGTCACATCGGAGCTTTCACTTCGTAAGAGTACTAGAAAAAGTATGCCTAAACGTCATTTCGAGATTGAAGGGCAAGTTTGCCTAGTATCTCCTGAAGATAGTGAAGGACCAAGTTCAGTACAAGAAACTCTATCATGTCCTGCAAAGGAAAAATGGAAGAATGCAATGGAAGAAGAGATGGAGTCTATGAAATCAAATCAGGTCTGGGACCTAGTTGATCTTCCATCAGGTCGAAAATCCATTGGGAACAAATGAGTTCTCAAAATAAAGTGAAGAGCTGATGGGACTATAGAGAGGTATAAGGCTCGCTTGGTTGCAAAAGGTTATACTCAACGGAAGGGTATATATTATGAAGAGACCTTTTCGCCAGTAGTGAGATTTACTTCAATTCGCCTATTCTTAGCTATCGTCGCACGTTTATATTTAGAATTACATCAAATGGAAGTGAAGACTGCATTTTTCAATGGAGAATTAGATGAAAAAACCTATATGCAACAACCAGTAGGTTTCATTAAAACAGGTCAAGAGAATAAAGTTTGTAAATTGAATAGATCAATCTATGGCCTAAAGCAGTCTTCTAGACAGTAATACTTGAGGTTTGACAGAGTGGTCATCTCATACAACTTTGTCATGATGGATGAAGATCACTGTGTTTATTTGAAAAGGTCCAACGAGAAATTTGTAATTTTATCTCCTCACGTAGATGATATCTTGTTGGCTGGAAATGATGAGTATATTAAAATCATTAAGAAATGGTTGTCCTCAAATTTTGAAATGAAGGACATCGGTGAAGCAGATTACATATTAGGTGTTAAAATCCATAAAGATCGTTGAAAGAGGCTTCTTGCTCTGTCACAAGAGTTATATCTAAAGAAAATTCTTGAACATTTCAAAATGGAGAATTGCAATCCCATTGACACTCCTGTATCAAAAGGTGAAACTCTAAGTCTTCGCATATGTCCTAATACTCTCAAGGAAAAAGAAGAAATGTCTGGAGTTACATATTCCAGTGCGGTTGGGAGCTTGATGTATGCTATGATGTGTACTTGTCCCGACATTTGTTATGTCGTAGGTCTGGTCAACAGGTATCAATCCAATCCTGGAAGAGAACATTGGAAAGCTGTTAAAAGGATATTGAGATACCTGAAGGGTACTGCTAATTACTCACTATGCTATCAAGGAAATGATTTGTGCTTAAAAGGATACACAGATGCTGATTGGGGTAGAAACCTAGATGAGCGCAAATCAACTTCGGGATATGTATTCTTGCTTAATAATGGCGCTATCTCTTGGAGTAGCAAGAAACAGACATGTATTTTCTTGTCCACAATGGAAGCAGAATTCGTAGCATGTGTTTCGGCAGTACAAGAAGATGTTTGGTTAAGGAGATTCTTACAGCATCTAAGAGTTGTTAGTGGTGGTGTAGGACCTATATTGATCTACTGTGATAGTCAGGCTGCTATTACATATACTAAGGATCCCAAGTATCACAGTAGAACCAAACACATTGATACAAAATATAATTTTGTAAGAGACATCATAGGCAAGAAGGAAGTAAGTTTGCAGTATATTTCTACACACCAAATGGTAGTTGATCCACTTACAAAACCCATCCCTAGAGATATTTTTATGGCACATGTTAAATCTCTGGGATTGCGTAGAATTTGAATTGTATACTATGTAAACTTTTTCATATATGTCCATTAATGAACAATGTTTTGAGTTCACATGTTAAGAGTAATCTTTTATTGTAATTTTTAGATTACCATTGCATATGCACACATAAAGTATGTCAAACAAGTTGAGATTGGTTCACTCACACAAACAATCGCCTCAGACACTTTGAGGTGTGCTGAGATGAGACATAGTGATCATATTGTGTACATGATCCAGCCGCCTTGATGTGATATCAAGATGAGATTACAACGAGTAATTGGTATGGATTTTTTTATCCATTAGACCTATTTTTACAGTCAGATCGAGTTCTCGATTTGAGATTACCTAGAGGAATAAATATGAGGAAAACTCAGGTTAGATATCGAGGAATATCTGAACCATGATCTGTACGATGTATTTGATTTGCAAGATTTGACATACGCCCTAAGAAAGGGAGAAAACATCGTAACACGTGTTTCATACCATGTGTGCTTTAACGACCAATGAGAAATGAAAGAATTGATCCCTGCTTCTTCATTATGTGAGTCTCTGAGGCATATTTGACCTCACTTATATATACTCTTATGACTTTTGATTGTGCTCATAATTTTATTTCAGTGTTGCTATTTTAGCATGTTGCCAATAACTATGGTTGATTCGGTTTGATGGGATATGTCTACGAAAGCAGCTGATTTGAAATGAAGGGATTCAAGTAGGAAATGAAGACTGTTTAACTAACACATCAGCTTGTATTCACCGGTCGGACAATTGTGTTGATTATTTGAGATTCATAACATAATTGTGAATATAATATAAATAAGAAAGTTGAATATGTTCTAAAATAAATTGAGGGGTCAGAAATACTCGAACTGGTGTGACAAAATATGTCTGGGGTATAGTGAGAAATATAATTCCTCTTTCAGAACTACTATATATTCCTAATAGGTGTATAGTGTTGTGTGCTCTTAAATTAACTCGCTGGTCGCACGATCCATTTACCTGTATGAACTTGGAGATGTAGAGATTCATATAATTGATATTATATTAGAATCAGGTCGAGCCCATCATGTGCGAGTGGGAGATGTTGAAAGAAAATGGTTTCGCCCATGTGGGTTGACCTGACCCGACCCGATTTGCATGGAAATCATTATTGGAGGGAGGAGTTGAAAATCAAACTTGAAAATTAACCTCCCTTAATCCATAACTTCCCAATATGCATCCACTCAACCAACAACAACAAAAAACTACACAAGATATCCAAAATTTGGGTTCTTTCAAGGTGTAAAAATTGGATGAGGGTGGAGGCTTGATTTTTGGGAAAATTACATCTTTAATTAGGTTCTTGGATTGTGAACAACAAATTTCTTCTTTGGTGATCGAGTTTTGACAAAGAAGCAGGTACAAGGCAGTGTTGGAGGCAAGCAAACAATAGGCAATAATTCAACCTCGTTTTTGGGATTTTCAAATAAGTTTCACAACTTAAATTCGGTTAAAAGCATGAAAGCATGTTTTACAACTCCATTTACTGGGTTTTATTACATCTCAGTTGAGTGACATCAAGTTTCCAACAACCCGGTTTCAGAAACTTGCTCCAAGCCCGATCTCCGCTCCTTTCTAGCATCCTCTCCAACCTATTGTACCTATGTGTTTTTTGATATCAAAGATTTTATAATTATGCTCTATTTTATAATATTTTGGGTCCTTTTGATTTGTGTTGATATTGATAAGCTAAAGCGTATTAAAATTGAGTGATTGATATTCGTAGCATTGAGGCAAAATGTAATTTATGCTGCAAATGTGCTATAACTTGTTTGTGTTGAAAATTTGAACTGAAGTTTGGGGTTGATTTAATTTGGTAACCTAAGCTACGTAGCAATTAAATAGCGATATTTGTATCAAGTTCTGATTCTGGAAGTTTAATCCAAACTGATGCTTGTAAATTATTAACAAATAGACTTCGAATTCTGCTTTTCTGTCCTCAAGAATTGCAAAAGTCTTGTTACTGCAGTGTATTTGTATTTACTTGCAAGCCGGTGTTATGATAAAATGGGAGGTTGCCCTTAGGATTATATACTTAGGAGAATATTTAATCCTCAACAAATGTCTGACTAGCTTTTAGTTGTTTTGTTTTGCATATAAAATGTTTATTGTTTTGTTTTGCAATTCTGATAAATCTTATGGCAAGTTACTTATCTTTGATACATGTATTTAGATTTTAATGGTTTGATTTGGTGTAAGCAAGGTAGAAGAAGATTAAAGAGGGGTGGAATTTGGACAACTTGGCCCATCAATCTATCTAAGAAGGAATATTAATTATGTGGAGCCTGCTTTGTTTGAGGTGAAGATTTTAAATAAATCTTCAAGTGATCTTTAATATCTGTCATAACAAGGTCAGCACTCAGGTGGATAATATCTAAGATTACTTACTTTTTTTTTATCATGAATATGTAAGCAATGGCCTAGAAAAGTTATTTTTATTTATTTTTTTTTTTAATTTTGAATAGTATCAATATGTTTTTTTTCACAAGTTGTGTTAAAAATGCATATTTCCCTTCTGAGCAAAGTGGTTTTAATTTGGCTTGAACAGATGAAATTATGACCAATAAGCATAATTTAATATGGTACCTTACACTAATATTTGTCTCTGTTCTACTACGGATTGAAGTTGCCTCTATTACTTTGTCCATACATTGAAGCAGCAGTATTGAGGTCTCTACATTACATAGCCGACATTGCATGGCTGAATAAAGCGGCTTTCAACATCAAATATGTGGAATTCCAACTGAGAATCTCATTTGTAGAATAAAAAGTACTGCAGCTCCTTCATTTCTTCATTGATACAAAAAAGGAGATCAGACACTGACATTGAACCGGAGGAAATTTCATCAAGAGAAAGGGGAAAAATAGAAACTAAAAAATTTAAAAGAGTAATAAGCAATTATCGGCCTTTTTGCTACAGTGAAGGCAAGGTACATTTTTATTTTAGATCTGAAAAAATCTCAAACAACTTGAGGAGTACAACTTTCTTTTCTTTTCATTTTTCCAAAACTATCTAATCGATCGACTCAAGAAAATCATATCTGAGTCGACAGGTTCAAAGTTTGACTGCCAGTTCATTGGGTTTAACATCAATATGAAGCTGTTTTCAGCTCCTAACCACTCTGGATTCTGGACCACTTCCCAGTTTCCCGGTTAAAACGACTGCTTTATCATTAGTCTATGCGAAACACCTAAACCTAAAAGTAAGGTCACCATATTCTTTTCCGGCCTCAAGTGGTGCTGTTTGTGTTAAGTTCTTTTCGTACTCATTTATTTGAGCCCCTCTTTATTGGATTCTCAATTCTTAGCAATGGAATGTAGCCCAAATTTTAAGTCCTGCATCGTTTGACAGCAGTAAAATCCCCGTTATACAATTCCTCCGCCGTCCCCAATTTCTCCCTCAGATTTTGAGTTGCAATTGAATTAGTGTTCAGTTACCACAATTTATCTTGTTCATGAATCAAAGAAGGATGATGTACTGGTGATTAGATAAAAATGAGAAGGAAGTGCAGGCTATGGTGGCCAGTTTATCTTTGCTCTAAAAATGAACTCCGCAATTCCATGTTCTTGCTCGGTTGGTCTTTTTCAACTTCAGTTTCTTCGATCGATATCATCGTTGCTTTCGCTTTCAACGAGGCGGAATTGTATTCCTTAGTGGCTCCAGATTTAAATCTCCTCCAGGTATGTGATTCATTCTCCTCTCTGAATTTTCAATTTGTGTTTTATTGAATGTTTTATCTGTTTATAATTGATTGTTGCAGTTTGACGTGGTTGAATTAAGCTTTTACTGGGATAATATAAATTAGTTTCTATTAGGACCTGTGCTTCCATGTTAAAAGTCAACCCTGTTAAAGGGAATATTGATCTATATTTTTATCTTTATTCGATATGAAATTTATCCCTTAATATGTTCCACAAGATGATAGAATGTTTGAATATATCAATCTTGAAATTCTCGTGCTCATTTTTTTAAGTTTTAATTTGATCAAATTACTTGTTGGAACTTAATGGACTCTAATATTATATTAAGTGCATAGTTGGCCCTCTTTAAAGTTTTAAATTATATGCTACAGTATCATTCTCCACCACACATTCACATAATAAAATATTCTACAAACAAACCAATAAAGTTTCTTTATTTTTAACCACACATTCTCCAAAAATTACTATTCAAAATTCTTTAATTTTCCAAATAATAGGTGACAAACAGGGGCTAAAACTTAGATCTATTTTAAAAAGTTAATCTTGTTAAGAGGAGTAGTCTAAACATCATGTTAAGGGATAAATTCTTCATTGAATAAAGATGAAAATATAGAGCTTGAGCTACTTATCTCAAAAGGTGAACATTATTAAGAAAAGCATCTCAGGCCCTTGTTGTATACTTTCATCTTTATTCGACGTGGAATTTATCGTTAACAATTTCTTTTTTATTTTTGTTCGATGATCAGTTGGGAATTTCAGATGTAAAATCCTAAACCCATTTCAAGTTTTTGCATTTTAGCAAGTTATGTTTTAAACCATTGCTAGTACATTTTAACAAAATGCATAAGAACAACCTGTATAGAATTCACCATAGTGTTACTTGAGATAGCATTGCCCAATTTTAAGGTTGCTTGTGTAGATTTTAAAATGGGATTCCTCCTTGGAGGACAATTGCACATCACCAGCATTGATGTGTAACATGCATGCGGAAATAAATTAGTGTATAAAATGTGCAATTGTGCACTGATTCTCCTCCCCATAATGTGGAGGTAATTTCTATATGGGGAGCTGATAATACAACTAAGATGTGATCATTTCTTGGAGTGACCTCATCTGAGAACTATAAACTTATCTTTCTTCTTAAAGAATAAAACGAATTGATATAAATTTTCCCATAGATTCGTATGCACGTGAATAAAGAATATCGCCTTTTTAGTGAAGGCAAAAAAAATAAATAATAGCATCATAGATGCTACCATTATCTTGTCTTGTGTTGTAGGAATTTGTATGGTCTTTCTCACACGACTTATTACTCATTTCCAAGCTTTCCTTATAGTGTAGATAAACTCGTCTCAATGTGAATTGGATGGGTTGCCATTCTAGTTTCTTTGGTGATTTTTATGCTTGAAATTAATTTAGGATTTCTGGATATATCGCCTATGTATATTTTTTCTAGTTCATCAAGCAATGTGCGAGGATAACAATTGACTATTTGATTCTGTGGTCAGATTTTGGATGCTTTGCCATTCTATTATCCTTTGTACTTTTGAAATTTGTAGGAGATGCTCAAGGAACGTGGTGTGGCACCATTCTCGAAATGGGATAAAGAACTTCCAAAGATAGTGTTTGATCCACGTTTTAAGGTTTGTTGATTCATATAGCAATGAATTAAGTGTGGCAATTTGATCATTTATCCATCTACTTTTCCTTGATGCTTATCTCTAAATTAGCAGCATTCACTGGGAAGTGGAATCTTATCTTGTATAGTTATACATGCCTGCGCACTGACAAACTGCATCTGGTAAATAAAATTATATTTCTGCTTATTTGCTCTTTAAAATTTTCTTTTCTTTTTTCTTGATAAAAACTCTTAAAGTTTTACATGTGAAAAGTAAATGCCTGTCGAAGAAGAAAACAATCAGCTAAAGATATGTAAATTGGAGCATTTTTCTAAGCCTCAGTCAAACCTTCAATGTGCTTTTTATTCACTGTATATATTTCTTGTTTCATGTTTTGTTCTGTTAATTTGGATTGGATTCTTTGGTATTAAGGGAATTATCTCTGGATCTTTCTTTTTTCCCATTCTACAAATTAGCTTGTTATTGCTTTTCTTTATATGAAGTTCTTCCTTTGCAGGCTATCCCAAGTCACAGTGCTCGAAGAGCGCTGTTTGAGCACTATGTGCGGACTCGCGCTGAAGAGGAGCGGAAAGAAAAACGAGCTGCTCAGAGGGCTGCTGTGGAGGGTTTCAAGCAGTTATTGGAAGAAGCAAAGGAGGTTTGGCGCAGCTGTGTCTTATTAAAGTATCCTCACATTCTGTTAGAATTAGGATATCATAAGGTATAGATTTTGAGCTCTAGAGATTAGATTGATTTCTGACTTTTCACCGACCTTCAGGATATTGATTGCAACACTGATTATCAAACATTTAAGAGCAAATGGGGAAAGGATCCACGATTTGAGGTCTTGTCCCGGAAAGAAAGAGAGTTTTTGTTGAATGAAAGGTATAGTTTACTGTTGCTTTTGATACTTAAAACAACTCGACAATGCAGTAGTCATGGTCATTTAGCAATATATATACCTACATGTGGCATTCTGTAGGAATGCGTGCTTGATATCTTGTGCTGATTGTTGATCGCTGCTAGTTGGATTGTTGACAATACAGTTTGATACTGGCCCTTCAAAACTGTTCCTTGACCTCCCACCACATTGATATTTAGTTTTTGAATTGTAATTATAGACAAAGTGTCTTCTATTTTTTCGAGTGACTGGTGGTTGAGTATGTGTATTAAATCAAAAGCTGCACATGGAGTAACAATATAGTACCTTTATGGGAAAGAGAACCAACTTTCTTCCTCATCTACTCAAGGTTCTTCCTTCTATTTCATATGTCTATCATTAAGAATGTGATAGGCCCCCAATCAACCATAGCTATTCTAGAAGGATCAAGAAAGGTGGAGAAGGGATAACAAATTCTGTTAAGAAAGAGTGATAGGGCTGGAGTTAGTTACACGAGGGGGTTATAAATAGAATAGTTGCAGGGAGTCTTGGGGCATGAAAAATACGGTGAGGAAAGGAATATTAGGAGAGTGTGGCCCTCTCGGATGGCCTCTTATGATTTTCTTCTCGAGTTGTAACTTTCCATTTAATCAATTCTAAAACATTTTCCTGCATATTTTCTGTTCTTCTTCCTTGCTTGCTCTTGGTATCTATCATATTTGGTATCAGAGCACCCATTTCATATATCACAACCATGACCTTGGCAGACCGAGTGAATGTGCTAGAACAAAAGGTGGGCAGCAATCATCACGAGCTTCAGACCAACCTAGACGCATTACGATCAGAGTTTCATTCCATGCAGACATGCTTAATGGAAAAAATGGATATGCTACTGCAGAACTGGACAAACTAGGAGAGGGATCGCAAGGACAAAGGGGTGGCTGAGGAACCAACATCGTTTGTCGAATCTGGGCTAGCCAATCTAGACCAACTGGAAGTCAATATGAGGGAGACGACGCCTTGGGAAATTGGAGATGGGAGTTGAGCATAAGGCGATTGGATGTGCTGGTATTTGATGGGATGGATCCGGACGGGTGGATTTTCAGGGTGGAGAGATATTTTGGGATTAATAGGATGACAGAAGAGGAGAAGATGGATGCTATTGTGGTATGTATGGATGGAGAGGCTTTAGTGTGGTTTAAATGGGAGGAGAAGCGGCGGCCGATTTTGAATTGGGAAGAGTTGAAGGTTGCTACGGCAATTTTGAGCCTCACAGGAGTGGACGTTGTGTGCTCAATTTTTGGCGGTCCAGCAATCAACCACCATAAGGGACTATCGATGGCTGTTTGAGACGTTGGTTGCACCACTGAATGGCTTGTCGGAGGAGGTGCTAGAAGGTAGTTTCATGAATTGATTGAAGCCAGAGTTAAGGGCAGAGGTCTAATTACACAGGCTGGTAGGGTTGGAACAAATGATGGAGATAGCCCAGATGGCGGAAGAAAGAAATTGGGTTACTAAAGTGGGCCAATGGAGTCCAGGCCCACCAAAACCTAAATCCAGTGCCTATTCCAATCAAAACCCATCCAAAGTTTTAACCCAACACCCAAGCCCACTATACTCCTCAATATAGCCCCAATCCGTATAGCAAGCCCTGGACCATTCCAAAAAAATATCACCTCCTTCAAGCGATTTACAGATGCCGAAGTGCAGGCGAAGCGTGAAAGGGGTTTGTGCTACCATTGGGATGAAAAGTTCACAATTGACCACCGGTGTAAGAATAAGGAGCTCCAAGTGCTAATTGTAAGGGAGATGGAGGTCGCACCGGATGACGAGGACACACATGGTGGTGGCAATTGCGATGCTCTGAATATGACTGGGGACGACGAAGGTGAAGTAGGTGAGGAAAGCCAGGCTGTCGAGCTGTCTATTAACTCTGTTGTGGGGCTTACAACACTTGGGACTATGAAGTTAAAAGGGAAACTGGGTCAAAGGAAAGTCGTGGTTCTTATAGACATTGGAGCATCCCATAGTTTCACGAGTACAGAAATTGTGCAGCAACTAGGTTTCCCTCTATCTGGCACTCCAGGGTATGGGGTGATTATGGGAACCGGCCTCACTGTAAAGGGGGAAGACATTTGTAAGTAGATACCTTTGAAGTTGCAGAGCCTATTGGTAGTAGAGAACTTCTTACCTTTGGAATTAGAGAGCTCAGGTATCATATTAGGGATGCAGTAGCTACAGAAATTGGGAAAGATGCAAGTGGACTGGAACACTCTGACGATGATCATTAACATGGCAGGGACTACAGTGACTCTTCAAGGGGACCCAAATCTCAATAGAACACCGGTGTCATTAAAGACCATGTTAAAAAACATTCAGAGAGCAAGGAGAAGGGCTCTTATTGGAACTGGGTAATATCATTGTTGGGGACGAAGGGGGGATGCCAGAACCACCGAAGATCATTATCGAGGTATTGAAGGAGTTTTCTTCTGTTTTCGAGAACAATAGTAACCTATCCACTCATCGGGATCATGTCCATACCATCAACCTACAGCTCGGGGTAGGCCCCATTAGTGTGAGACCATATAGAGACCCACATTTTCAGAAAAATGAGATCGAAAGGTTAGTGCAGGAGATGCTGGCTGCAGGAGTTATTCAGCATAGCATGAGCCCATTTTCGAGTCCAGTACTCTTAGTTAAGAAGAAAGATGGGAGTTTGAGGTTTTGTATTCACTATCAGGCAGTAAATAAAGCAATCGTTGTTGATAAATTTCCAATCCCCACCATCGATGATCTCTTGGATGAGTTATACGGCTCGACCATCGTTTCAAAGATCGACTTGAAATTTGGGTATCATCAAATCTGGGTGAAGATAGGGGACATGCCTAAAATTGCATTCTGCACTCACGAGGGCCATTATGAATTTCTAGTCATGCCGTTCGGCCTGAAAAATGCACTGCAACCTTCCAGTCACTAATGAACGACATCTTCAGGAAACAACTACGAAGATTTGTATTGGTCTTTTTCAATGACATTTTAGTCTATAGCTGAACGGTGGAAGAGTATCGGGGGATTGCATTAGTTAGTGGATAACCATCTGATTGCTAACAAGAAGTGCTTGTTTGGCCAAAAAGAGTTGGAGTACCTTAGCCATATGATCTCAGAAAAAGGAGTAGCCGCAGATATGTCTAAAGTGGAGGCCATGATAGCATGGCCACGACCTAAATCACTTAAGGAGCTACGGGGTTTCCTTGGTCTAACAGGATACTACCGGAGGTTCGTAGAGAGGTATGGAAGGATAGCATGGCCACTTATGTAACAACTGAAAAAAGATAATTTTGGGTGGAGTTACGGGTGGAAGCTACTTTTGTAAGCCTAAAAAAGGCTATGGCTTCGGTTCCTGTAGTTGGACTTCCAGATTTTTCCAAGCCATTCGTGATTGAAACTGATGCGTCTAGTCATGGCTTGGGGGCAGTTTTGATGCAACACTGGAGGCCTATTGCTTACTTTAGCTAAGTTCTTCCTCCTCAATCCCGAAACAAGTCTATTTACGAGATAGAGTTGATGGCAATTGTATTTGCTGTTCAAAAGTGGAGGCACTATCTAATTTCGAGGTATTTCATAGTCCGAACTGATCAAAAGAGTCTCAAATTCTTTCTTAAGCAGTGTATGGTAAGTACGGAAGGTTGACCAAGTTACTGGGGTATGACTTTGACATCGAGTACAAGTCGGGATTGGGAAATAAGGCAGCTGACGTTTATCCCGAATTGAATTGGCTACAGCAGGGATTGCACTTAGTATGCCATTTGTTTTACAGCAAGCTGAGTTAGAAAAGGCAGTGAAAGAGGACTCGGATCTGGCCAGATCCACACAGCACTACAAGCTGACCCAACGTTACACCCGAGGTTTGCGTTGGTTCAGGGTACTCTGTTATATCGTGACCGACTCGCCTTACCCAAGGGTTTTCCATTTGTAATGTTGGCATTGCAAGAAGGACCCGACAGCAAAATCGATGGCCATGGGGGATTCCTTAAAACATACAAAAGGATTGCTGCCACGTTTTATTGGAAAGGCATGAAGAATGATATTCGAAATTATCTGGTGGCCTGTGCAATGTTTCAGCAGAACAAGTACTCGATCCTCACTCCGGCAGGACTGCTTCAACTGTTACCAGTACCAGAGAATGTCTGGGATGATATCTCCATAGACTTTATTGAAGGGTTGCCAAAGTCAGACGGGTTTGACTCGATTTTGGTCGTTGTGGATTGCTTAAGTAAGTATGGACACTTTGTGGGCCTTAAACATCATTTTTCAGCTCCTTCTGTGGCGGCAATATTCATTAAGGAGATAGTTCGGTTGCATGGCATGCAGTAGTCAATAATCTCTTATCGTAACAAAGTGTTAGCAAATTTTGGAGTGAACTCTTTCGGTTGCAAGGTACCAAATTGAGGCTTAGCTCAGCCTACTACCCATAGACCGATGGCCAGGCAGAGGTGCTTAACAGGAGTATTGAGGCTTATCTTCGTTGCTTCACTTCAAGCAGGCCTAAAGACGAGTTTCGCTTTCTACCCTGGGCTGAATTATCTTATAACACTTCTTACCACATGTCTGCACAGTTAACTCCATTCCATATCCTGTATGGAGGGGACCCACCTCCTATCATCCGCTTTGAGAAAGGGTCAATAGCAGTGTCTTCACTTGACCACCAGCTGATGGAACGTGACTGATTACTAGAGGAATTAAAAATGCATCTGCAGAGTGCTCAACAAAAGATGAAAGCTTTTGATATTGGGGAATTGGTCTACTTAAAGATGCAACCATACCGCCTTAAATCTTTGGCACACCGTTCCAATGAGAAACTCTCCCCTCGGTACTATAGGCCCTTCGAAGTACTAGCTAAAGTGGGTCAAGCGGCTTACAAATTGAAACTTCTTCCAGAGTCCTAAATTCATCCTGTTTTTCATGTTTCTCAACTCAGGAAGGCTATGGGAAAATTGAATCTGCTTTCTCCTCTACCTCAACCCTTAGGGGTGGACTGGGAGTTAAGAGTGGAACCAGAATCAGTATTGGGAGTACGTCCTGCATCGTTTGGCAACAACAGGGAGGTGCTCATTAATGGTTTGGTCTGTCACCATTGGAAGCAACCTGGGAGCATTTTGATCTCATTAATCAACAATTCCCTTCTTTCAACCTTGCGGGCAAGGTGACTAAATTGGGAGGGCTAATTGATAGGTCCCCGATTCAACATACCTATTCTAGAAGGACCAAGAAAGATGGAATAACAGAATCTATTATGAAATAGTGACTAGGCTGGAGTTAGTTACACAAGGGGTGTTATAAATAGAGTATTTGCTGGGAGTCAGGGGCATCAGAAATCATTGAGAGGAAAGGAATATTAGGAGAGTATGGCCCTCTCGAATGGCCTCTTATGATTTTCTTGAGTTGTAATTTTCCATCCAATCAATTTCAATATAATTTCCTTCATATTTCCTGTTTCTCTTCTCCGTTTACTCTTGATATCTAACAGTTGGCTCCCCATTGGTCATCAATTCGAGTCCCCTAAGGGCCACTGAGGTGAGTACCCGACTGTAAACTTTAGGACCCCGTGGAATTAGTTGAGATGCGCGTAAACTTCCTTGTTCAAAATGTTACTTGAAATTGGTAGAATATTCCCTTGATGGTCGAGATCACATTGGTGAAAGCTTGATTAGGTTATGTCATTTTGCTTATTGGTTACAAAATGCTTCAGTCATTGATAGACTACAACCGTCATGATCTTCAATATTTACTTTGCTCACACACTTTGTTGACTGTCAGATATTATGCTAAAGTTTACACATTAGTTTGCACACGGGATTGGGGCCATTGTTGAATCTTGTGTTTCATCTGAAATCACCGAAGATTCACCATTTTCTGAGCACTTCATTTTCGTGCGATTGAATTACCTCTGTTTATGTCCTTTTTTCTTTGATATGCCGGCATTTCTTCAGGACAAATGTATTTTCTCCCTGCTGGGCTATTATGATACGGATTTCAGTGCCAATGGTCAGTTTCCCCGAGATGGAAATGGAGATAAACATAGCTTCTCCTCCAGTGATAAACAAAAGTTGACATGCAGCCAAAATATTCACAGAGGCAATCATGGAAGATGGAGCTTTGGATGCCACAAATTTGATGCGCCACTAGAACAGTGTAGAATTGCTGCTCTAGAAAACAATCCATGGGTCAAGCTTGTACATGGATTTTCTAGAACAGTTAGCAGAAAAATTGAACTGATCCCTAAACTGGATCGTGTACATTGGGAAAAGGAAATGTCACAGTGGAATCTCCATGTATGTAAGTCATGTTCACCTGTGCTACATGCTTTCCCATCTTAGTCCCTTGCCCTTATGTGTTGTGCTATCTCTTAACTTGCCTTGCAAATAAATTCAGGTAGTAGTTTATGATATTCCTACTTTTGGTGGTCACCATTATTCCTTGGGTAGTCAAGTAAAATCTTATTCAGCCAAGTAAAATCTTCTTGCAAGAAACCCAAGTGGTTTGAAGATCTTCATCAAAAGGACCCATACCTTGACTTGGTAATATTATTTACAAATTCGTGCAAGAACATATCATTTTTCTGAACCTGCTTCTTTTCTTTCCTGTGCAAAGGATGCTGTGATCCTAGCAATGAACAGTGCCACAGCCACAAGAATGTTCTTTCAGAGAAATCTTCATGCTAAAAGATCTGCCTCACTTTTCTGCATCCTTCGTTTGTAATGTTCTTCTAGACTTTCTGGTCTCTCTCCCTTGTACCTTTAATTTTTCTGGTAGTCATAACATCTTTTCTATGATCTATCAGGTTCAGTACCTTTGCATGGAAACTGTTTGCTACATCAGTGGCTTCACTAGCAACGTTCTTCTATATCATTCTTCAGTTTCTCCATGTTCTTTATAGTAGTGTGTCACAATCATTTATATACATTACATTGGAAAATGTATTCAGCAACACTCGAAAAAATATTCAAATTCGCTGCTTTCAGCTGTCGTATTGGCCAATTTTTCTCCAGGATCTTGTTATAAGGTAAAATGGTCGTGTGGCTTCTTGGAATAATTTAAGTCTAATCTTATTATATTTGTTTTGCATAAAGTAGAAAACATAATAATTAGCTTATCCCAAACTATAGTTAGTTCTGCACTTCTACTCATAATTATCAGGCATGTGTAATCACCTATGCATATGTATGGTTTCAAACACATAATTTTGAAGATATATAGGTATATCTGTAAATGTACAAATTCAGATTGCATCTTTGAGATGAGAAAGAACTTGCAAGTTTTCCACTAAACAAAGTTGGTAGTCAATCTCAACATTCACATGTAATATCTTATCACAAATTCATCTAGAGAGCGAAAATATATTCACACTTGCCATCTTGGTTTATCTCTGACTTCAATCAGTGGTTAATCCATATTTCACATATATCACACCACAGATTCCGCAAAAGAATCCAGCTGTTTCAGTTTTAAACCTAATAACAAAATGACTTTTGCAATTGGAGATTTTTGGGATTTTTATTTTATATCCTGCCTAGTTTTTGCAATTTTTTAACCTTTTTTTTTTTTTTTTTTTGTAAATTGGGAATGGGGTACTATATATTCGCTGTAATTTTGGCTGTTATATAGGTCCCGGCCATGTGTTGAATTTGCGGAGAAAGCTGCATTACATAGGCACTCAATGTGGTCTAGCATTGTAGTTGATGTTCTTATTGGAAATTTGCTTGGTCTTGCACTTTGGTTCCAGGCAGAACGTGCTTGCCAATGGGTTTCAAACTTTGCTAATGACATCACGGACTATTGGTTGCGTACTGGTTGTGTATGGCTAATGGGAAATCCAGCGGGTTTCAAGTTGAATGCTGAGCTAGCTGGGATTCTTGGCGTGATATCTCTTAATGCAATGCAAATATGGTTGATGGATTTTAACCAAAAGAGAAAGAGCAAGATGGAGATCAAAAAACCAGAAGAATCTATTCAAACTTTTATCCACTTGGTTGATATATACGGCTGGCTCTACCAACTATGTATATATAAATTACACAAAAGATTGTCAACCATCCCTCCAACCTACTACACCTTACCTTGTGACAGATTACACTATACATGATAGCATATTACATTTTATAATAATAACTTGGCTGACTTGAACTTAAACAATTACAAAAACAAAATGGCAACAAAAGTGACAACATTAAATCTTTAAATCATCAACACTCCTTCTTGACACTTTTGTTGGAAACACCAAGACATTTTCTTAGTGTTTCAAACCTTTCTTTTCCCAGGCTCTTAGTTAAGATATCAGCAAACTGAACTTCAGACTTGCAGTTCACCAGCTTCACTTCCTGTTTTTCTTGTGCTTCCCTGATTGAATGATACTTAATCTTGATATGTTTTGTCCTTCCATGAAACATGGGATTTTTAACCATAGCAACAGCCAATTGATTGTCACAATAAATCACAGTTGGATTTGATTGATTGTGATTTAAATCCTTCAAGACTTTCCTTAGCCAGACCACCTGATTTGTTGCTTCTGATGCAGCCACATATTCTGCCTCTGCTATTGATTGAGCAACCGTTTTTTGCTTAATTGAGTTCCAGCAAACTGGACTTGATCCCAGATAAAAAACATATCCAGAGGTGCTCTTCATATCATCTAAGGATCCAGCCCAATCACTATCAGTATACCCAATCAGATCCACAATTTCAGACTTTCTAAACCAGATTCCCATTTCAGCATTCCCTCTGATGTACCTCAGGACTCTCTTTGCCGCTTGAAAATGCAACTCACTTGGTTCTTGTCTAAATCT